CCCCAAAACCCCAAAACCCCAAAACCCCTTGTAGAGATCTTAATTATTATATAATAACCAAACATGGACAAGACCTGAACTTCTCATGCCTATACATCTCAAGGGGTGATCCCTAAATGCCCAAGTAGGCCAAATATAAAGTAATTCAACTTAAATCAAACAATAGGCCGAGAAGGGTCCTTTTTGTGTCATATTCTCAGAAGGTTATCGGCACTGTGACTAATTGAATTGAGATTGAGAAGGATGAAGCGCAAAGGTAAGAACAGGTGGGGTGATGGGAGATTAGATAAGAAGAGTGGGGTTTTGGGGGTAGGGGGATGGAGGGTGGGGGATGGTGTGAGAGATGGTCAGAGGAGGTGAGGGTAGTGGTTATCTCCTATAATTAACTATCAAAAGCTCAAGTTTTATCAAAGCATCTCTAAACCTTCCTCTCTTAATTTTTCAATCTTCGACTTCTCGATCTCCTTGTTCCCTCTCTATCCCACCATCCCCATCTCTTTACACTTCCCTGCCTATCCTCCATCTCCCTTCAACTTTCTTCCAACCCCAAAATCCCAACTCCCACTTCCTCTAAACCTAAATCCTCCCTTAAACACCCAAAACCACCCACACAACCAATCCTTAAAACCTTCTCATCCTACACAAACCCAACACTCACACACAAAATTTCTTCCTATAAATCTGCATAATCAGCCATTTACCACACGTATTGAGCTCTAGGTTTAACTTTTGGCTAAAAAATTGCCTCCTTGTGTAAAAACTTAGGCTTAAAATTATTTTGTTACCGAAGAAAATTGGAGGCTGGAGGAGTTTACTTCTTGAGGGTTATGTAGAAGAGAATGGGTGAATGGGGTTGGAGAAGAGAGAGAGGATGTGGAGGGCTTTTGGGGGTCAGAGGTGTATGAGGTGGTGATATGGGCAATGATATAATACGTTCAAGTATGGTCTTAGTTTTCTTATATGCTCCAATGAATAAGGGTCACCATGATGCTATCACAGTCACGACTTGGTACTTATATAATATAGCTTGGCAATCAATATTAACCACACTGAGAAAAACCTGCTAAAGGTATTATCATATGATCTTTTGAATGACCTTCAAGAAACCCCTCCTAAAGTCTTTGCAGAGGACACTAATTCAGTTGATGATTCTGACAGCGACTTTGAGGATGGTAAGTAGATAGGCATTTATTCAAAATTTTATGACTAATCTTTCTACTATTTAATTACTAAAATTTAAAAACCTACCTTGTTCATTGCTTTATGTAGGATTTCTTTCCTGACTAAGGAGTTTATTCTTGATTTCAGACCATATTCATTCTCTTAAAATTTAGTGTTTAAATGTTCAAAATTTCCACGAATCTTTTTATAGGAAGCCATATCATTTTAAAACACAAACCAGACATTTCTGAAGACTCTAAAAAACCAAAGGGATTATTTGCTGAAGAATTTATGTTCGGACAGTCTGAGAAAAGGCTGAACTTACAATCGAAGGAAGGGGTCAAGAGATGTCCCTTTTTAAATACACTCTCTAAGCAGAATCATTAATACAAATCTATTAAACTAATCATTGTCAGATTCGTCCCTTCAGATGTTATATTGGGTATAGCAATGAAAAGATAGACCCTTTGTGCTTAGTATTGCTTCTTCACAACTCAATTTTTTTAGAAAATCTCAATAGTAATCCTACATATTAAGAGCAAAATTATACTTTCCCAATAGCCTAAGGAGAATCAATTTGTGCCAAGGCTTAGATAAAGAAGGAAAATTTGTAATGTAGGCAAAATTTTTGAGACAAGTTCACATTATTATCACTAATAAGAGCTCTAGTCCATCAATTCGCCTCTTTAATCTTGAATATTTGACATGAGTTAATAATAATCCGTGCCTAATGTGAAAGATATGACAATTAGCATCAAAATCGTTTCTTGAACGTTTAGATAACTAGTTTTAGATTCAACTGAACATTTTATTACACCTACAGTTTGGAAGATACTAAATATTAGTTTTAAGATTTAAAGAGATGAGATCTTAATAAGTAGTGAAATTGGAAAATATGAAATAGCACAGAATACACTACTATAAATTTTCAGATTGTTATTGGCCTTTAGTATTTCAATGTCATATTTAAAATTATTGAGCTGAACTTCTGAATAAGAGTATCGGTGAAATAGAATTTGCCCGTGACTCTTTGATTTTTATTACTTGTATAAAGTTAATTTGATAGTAAAGAGTGCAGTTTCAACTGTGCCAAATTGTGCAGGGGTTTTGGGGTTTTGGGGTTTTGGGGTTTTGGGG